GTAAAAAGCACGCATTGAAACTCCATACAAAATCAATTGCCATACGAATAAATCTCATATGAAAAAGTGAAATAGAAGATAAAAGCCGATTTATCAACAATGAACTGAGGTGTTCACATAGTCAACAGTGACACAATAATACTATAAGTATCTAATAGATTGATAAAAATAGGTCATTCATATCATTTTGTCAGTTTCACGCTGAGATTTTTCATTTAAATCAGTGATTCCGTGATACCATAATCAAATTTTTACCTTCTGGCTTTGCCTGTATCATCCTTTTTATAGGTAAAATAACTCCTATGTACCGATCATACGAACCTATTTTACACAGATTTTTCTTAATTTCAAGCTGACAATTATAGTTGAAGTAAAAGCGAAACACTTTGAATAACACCAAACAATAAAATTTATTAACTAAATAATAAATAAGCAAGGACAAACACATAACACATGTTTTATTATTGTGTTGAAGAGAGAATGAAAAAACACACCTACAAACGTGACAGCAATCTAACTCTATATAAATATTTCTGATTACCAGTAATTTTGATTATCAAAAAGGTATTATTACAATATAATTTTTTCTATCACCACAAAAAATAAATTGCATGTCCTTAAAAGATCTGTGCAGTGTGCACAATATGAAATATGACATTTTATATAATAATTATAGCATGCTGATTTAAAATTAGCATCTCATAAAAAGCTACGATATACCTGACAGATTTTTAGGTTATGATTAGTCAAATGTACAGAATCATTTGTTTAACAAAAACACTTTCATTTGCATGAGCAAACAGTAAGAACTATTTGATGCAACAAACTTCACAGTCGTTTGAGATTTTATGTGCTGTTTATACCACCAATAATACGTTTCAGTCAGTCAAGTCAGAGGAGTTTTTTATAAATATGCAAGGCAACTGAATGCAATGTAAGATATTATAACTTATTGCTCCTACTTACTCATCCAAGAAAGAGATACTCACTGGACCCATAACTCTCAAACAAAATAACTTAATCTTAAACATTTTATCACATTCAAGATGTTCTGAATAACAACGAATATGTACACAATAACAATCTAAAATGAACAAAATATATAACACCTCGCAATCACTAACTTTCAAAACCAAGCACTGCACTATATCTTCACTCAGTGTTGCTGTGCATTTAAACAACGCCTTTGCCAGCAATCTTAGAATTTAATCAATTATTATCCATCTAATGAACGATCAAGAAGAAGCAAGTTTCAAGTCAAAAACATAATTTGTCGTAGCTATAATGCTCGCCCCGATATCGTGTCTTATCAGGCTGATAACCGCAGTGATACCGTACAACGCCAATAATTCGGTGCTCCATAGTCGACATTTTGTCTCATTTCTAAACGTGAACACTTTTATTCGGAAGTTTCAATGAATATTGCGAATATAATTCGGTCATTCTCGGACTAGCGTTCACTACCAAATTTCCGTGGCAATTTTTATTATTTAAGTATTCGATTTTTTATCGTGCAATATTGTTTAATATTCCTGCATTGTGTCATGAAATGTTATTTAATAATTACACGATAATATACTTGAATATTTAAATAATAAAAATTGCCACGAAAATCAGGTAGTGAACTGTAGTCCGAGAATGAACGAAGTGATATTTACAAAAATTCTAAGTACGATTTTTTTTTAGATATGTGAAGAAAGAATAGAAAAAAGTATAACGTAGTAGTAAAAGTAAAAGTTTTAGTATCAGATAGAGCTCCTTATGAAAGAGTTCATTCTGGGAAATACTGCCACCCTACCTATTTCTCCCGCAACGCAGTAATGTTAGCATTAGCGTTCCAGTTTTGAAGAGTTTGAGGGTGCTGGTTAAATTACACGCACATGGGGCTTCTGAACTTATATTTCAAGATGACGAGCACAATGCCAGTGCTTCTCAAATTGCGATCTGCTACTCTGTAGTGGCACTGCAACTGTTATGGACAGAAAACTTGTTTGTCCCGGCTCTTGGTATTATGAAAACAAAATTTTTTTTTTTTTAGTGCTTTGATTATTATTGAATATGTCAGCCCGCAGCCCCATTGGAAAAACAATACAACAAGAAGATACTTAAGTAAGTAATAGAATCTAAACAGATAAACCAAAATACTACCTAACTACACACCTATACAAAATCTTCGCGGCACTTCTTGTTGGTTCTTACAAAACGGACTGAAACCACCCAACATTAAATGTACCAAAACCAACCTGTGCAAATAACTGCACCCTGATAGGTTCCGTCCGAACACACTCCATGAGCAAATGATATAAATCCTCGGGAACTACACACACTTCGCAATTTGAAGAATTGAGCCTCCTCATTAAATATAAAAATTTGTTTTATTGAACATGTCCGGATCGGAACCTCATAACACTGACGGATGTGACTTGAAATTTTTAGCAAACTTGTATACTTACATTACAACGTAGAATATGAAATTCTGAAACGAATTATGCAAACAACTTTATTTTTTTACTTTATTGTATGTTACTTCAATTCGAGTTAAAGTGATTTATATAAAGTATATTCCTAAATTGTACTTGTAATTTTAATGTACAGATTCTTGATAAGAAAAAGAATTCACATTCATAGTGGAATCAAATTTAATCGCAGGTCATTTAAAAATTTTATTATCTTTATTGCAGAATAGTAAAACACAATAATAAAAATAAATATCCGTGAAATAACATACTAAAAATAATATAAGGCGGGGCATGTTCAAAAAGTGTATTTTATTAATTAAAAGGTGTTATATTCTTGTAAGTATGATGTTTTGCTGTATTATTTGATTTTAAAATCGGGACTCAATCTTGTATAAAAGATATTATATTTACCTCGATGTTTTACTGTATTTTTTAGAGTTGATGATTTTTTGGACTACATAGATTTGTATTCCATAGTTTTAATTATATTTATTTTATTAAAGCACAATTCGTAACACGACACCTACATACAATAAAGTATTATCAAAAAAGATTATATTTGTCCCAAAAATGATAGAAAAATTATCGCAGTAAGGGAAAGTATACCGTAGGCTACTGTTATTTATGTACTTAATTAATTGAACCGTCAGCCACCTAATCAGAAAAATATCACATAGATACGTACCGTAACCCAAATAATAACTTTAGTGGTTCGATATAGAAAATTAAATATTAGAGGCCCGTTGCAAGTCACGTCTCTTGAAATATTGTTGATATTAGATTATATAAGGAAATAAGTAGTCTAATTAAATTACAAATAAACAGGATGATCTGTGGATATGGCTGCAATGTTGTTACTTTTTTATTTCTTTTTTTTTATTTCTGCCGCCAAGCAGTAATGTGAGCGTTACTGCGTTCCGGTTTTGAAGGGTGCTGGTGAAATTACAGGCACATGGGACTTGTCAACTTGTCTCAGGATGACAGGCTCAATGGCAGAACCCCAGAGATGTTTGCGATTTAAGGCCCTAAGTGACACTGCAACTATTACGGACAGGAGTGTCGCTTACCAACTGGCATACGACTTGTTCGTCCCGTCACTTAGTTTTATAAATATTTTGACATTCAGTACATATAAGATCAGAATGTAACATTTTCATTAAATTAAAAAATAGGGAATTTAATCAATTGTGCGAAGATTTTGACAGCATGATCAACTTCATTACAAGTTGTTGCTATCAATATCAAACTTTAGATGACATAGTTTATTTCTATCACATTAATTTTTCACGGCAGCGGTTTAATAGGCGACCGTTAGTTTCAATTAAAATACTACCCGGGTTCAAAAACTTCTAAATTTCCGCGCAAAAAGCTCCACATTTTGCTATTTTTTTAAGACGGTAAAATATATATTATATAAATTTTAACAACATTCTATAAATTTTAAAATATCCTAAGCATAATAAAGAATTTTGTATAAAAATCGCGTAGATTTGTTTTTTCATACAAACCAACGTTTCACGCCCTTTACAGTTCCAATGGTCCAGTTAGCGGTGACCGAAGGACCGGAAAGGGGCCAAAACATTGTGAAAAAAATTGTTTAATTTCTTACGTGTAACTATCGTGAAAACCTAAGAAGTTATATGTAAACATTTGCCATATCATTTAAAATGACGTCAAACTAAGAAACGCCCGTCGCATGGCCTTAGACGCTCTTCTGAATTTCTGTATATTTATTCATAATTTAAGAAATTAAGTGACCGGCGACTGTATAAATAAACGGACGTCTATTTTAACAATAAATATATTAATTTCCTAGAAAGAAAACGTTTTAACAGCCCATCTTACTTAGACATTTTAAGTACTTATGACATTTGAGCAAAAACTTTTAAAACGAGTGTACACCGACCTTTAGTTATGAATATTGCAATACTAACCTTATTACCCGTAGAAATTTATTGTTATGCATACATATTTTGATATTATATTGTAATTCTTTAGCATTTATCGCCTTTTGTTTATAATATATTGCTATATCAATAAAATATAATCTCGAAAATATGTATCATTGCAAAATATATTTTTTTTACTTTTTTTCTACTTGTCATAATAATGTACACCATTATTATGACAAGTAGACTTACCTAGTGTAATGTGTATATTTCAAAATAAGTAGACATGTATTTTACATACTTTAAAAAAAATTAAAAAGATTTAAAATCTACACACGTTGGTCATGATCTTACTTGAAATTTAGCGACGACGCGGCGGTGTGACGGTTACATTAATTTTTTTTCTGCTAAGTCGTAAGATTTCTCTGATATATCATTAGTAGATACGTTCGCCTTACGATACTTTCAACTAAGTTTGAGAAGGTCGGTGGCATGAACAGGTTCATTTTTAAACATCTGTACCTTGTATTTTTTGTAATGCTCCGTATAAGCTCCGTTAAAAGAGTTCGACCTACAATATCAGACTGTAAGTACCAGATCCATTCATACCATTGGCCGGGGACTTTCAGAATGAAAACACCGACATACTTACTGGTGAACGGATTAATCTGGGTTTTCGACAGCGAAGCGGGGCAGTAAGTTCAGCGATTCCTCGGAAGCTGGTTTTCACAGTATATGTACACGCAATCCGATGATATCCGTCATAATCTGGTACAAGCCGCTGGATTACGCGCGTCCACCCGCGGCCAGACGTCACCCACTAACGTAAACACCAGAAACAAACCGAATACGAATCCGAAACCGATAAATCAAAGCGCACGATCGCGGCGACGGCGCTTATCCGGTAAATCCTGTCGGGATCGCGTAAAAAATACTAGTATTAAAAACAGTCTTAAGTGGGCTTACGTTCGCGGCGCGGTGCGGCCCGCGCTGGCTCTAATCTCGGCCACTTCCCGGCGCAATTTGAACCTAACTCCGCCACTCTATACATCATCCAGCCCGCCCACCGCGCCGCCGCCCCTCAAGACCCACCCTCTTCCTCGCACGCATGTCGCTTATATACACCCGTCCTGCTTACGCTGAAATCTCGCCACACTGAAAATTCGTGCGTGGAGCGGCGAGTGAGCGTCGTGGCGCGCGGGCAGGAGGGGAGGCAGTCAGCTGGCCGAACTTGGGCGAATAAAATCGACTTTTTATCGGCTCGCTATGACGCTTCGTGACGTCACTGTTTACTTCTGCCGCTGAAGTGTGGACACAGATTTTCCACGGAATACCCCGACGAAACTTTACTTGAAAGTGATTCTATAGATTTGGAAACTTTGACTTTTTCGAAGATTTATGGCCACAGTTTATGTAAAGGTGTTATAAGAAAAAATGTAATTGTCTTTGCAAGTATATAGACGACTCTAATAGTGGTGTGCAGCTGCTGTATATGCTATGGTTAAGTCCTGGAATTATATCATCTTCTTCGTTTTGCTTAAGTTGCAAACTCATTTAAGCAAACAAATCGAGCAATACGTTTCGCTTAAAGCATACAAATAATTGCAGTTTAAATTGGCGTGCAGCAGCGGCAGCGTGGCAGTCGCCGGCACCGGCCGCAATAAATAAACGCTCGACTCGCAACGTAAACAGATCGCGCACATTAACCACGGCACCGCACCCGCCTTACATAAAGAGAACCGTATAAATATAAAGTTCTCGCTGCCGCGCAAACTTAGCTAAACAACGCCATAATTGCCTTCATTACTTAAATTACTGAAATTATTTATTCAAAAAGCTGGCAACATTCGGGTTCGCGAGGCCCCGCCCCCGGCGCCGGCGGCCAATAGCGGGAAGCGCGGGGCGGGCCCCGCCGCAACATGGCGGCCCGCAATCGCGCCCGCTGCCGCCGGCCGATAGACTTCAAACGCCAGTTTTCCCGCGTCCCAATCAAGTGCACTTTTCTAATTAAATGGGAATTGTAAGTGAGTGCAAATGTACTGTGTGTCGCTTTCAACCTTACCTGCTCCATAACGTAAACTACAGTCGCTCGCGGCAGATATTACACAAACAGAATCGGTGTACCGCCGACGGCAAACGACCGACGGGAAATGAATGGTCGGCGAGAGTTTTCCGACTCAAGAATTTAATTAAACGTTCGATTGTTATTAATATCTATGATTACGTAAGTAAGTACCTATAAGTAAGTTTCACAATGTTTTAGATGAAAAAAATAATATATATATCTTGTACATATGTACCTACAAAATAAAGAATGTCAGGGTTATGTTTTAGGTATCTATATAAACTTCTATAGATAAAGATTAAGTAGAAAGCATCACAAATGTAAATCGTAGCATAGAAAGCTCGAATTACTAAGTTTGTCGTAGCGGTCTACGCCGTTGTTCTACGAACTGTCTTTTTTCTTTTCCTACAAAAGTTAATAAATTTTGAATAACTTAATCCAAGCATTTTTATCTTTTTAGGTAAGTTTAAAGCCTAATAAACGTATATCTACCAAATAATAAATTCATAATTTTACCTTACTTAATATTCCAACACAGATAAATTTACTTTGATTTCCAAGCATTTTATTAAAAGTTTAATAAAGATTATAAAAGAGTTCAACGACATGTCCTTCAAAATTTGTTTACTTGAAAACCCTTTTATATCCTAGGCATTATTTATTTTATATTATTATCTATATTACCTTTTTTTATTTATTTATTATTAAGTATATGAGCCATTAATAGAACTTAGTATACTACGGAATTTCTTCTAATAAACCGAAGCAAGCGCACCGATTACCCAGTCTCAAACTAGAAAATTCACTGTAGGTACTGTGCAACACCGGAACCACTACCAAAGAAAAGCAGACGAAATGCCAATTCATAATAAGTTTGCTTCCTAAAAAGCTCATATAGAAAATCGAACCCGAGACCGGGAGGGCTCAAGCCCCCACTTTGATAACCACTGGGCCGCTAAAATCACAGCAGATTTTTTTGAAAAGAAAGAAACGCCACGACGGAAAGCAGATTAGAAGTCACAACTAGGTTACCATTAAACACGTGAAGTCTTCGATTGTTCTTTAGGTTCCTTTATTGATTGCAGTTTATACATATATCCCTTAATAATACTACGTAAAATCAAACACACGAAACCTTGAAGGGCGTAGCAATGTCTGGATAGAGACTAAACACAATATGAGCACATCTAAGGCAATGCAAAACGTGAAACTGCGCACGTACCAGAATCAGTTGAGAATAATCGACAAATTTTTTTAAATGCCGAAATCTGTGATTAATTAAATTGTTAATTACCGCAAATAGAAACTTGCAAGTTTGTGCCGGTTATCTCAAGCTGCTACATTCACCAAATGGCAGCAACTACACTCCCCTCATTCTCCGTAGTACCAGTCTTGCTCTTGTCCACGTCTCACAAAAGCTTATACAAAATCGCCGCAATAGTTAACTGAAAAAATTTTTGTACCTGCAACTGGCATCCGTTTCTTTTTATTATACCAAGTGACGGGAGGAACATTTCGATGACAGATGCAATTCCGCTAAGAGCTTACCCTGAAAATTAAGTTGAGAAGTCTAATGTACCTGTAATTTCGCCAGTAGGTACCCTTACTCTTCAAAAACGAAACGTGATAACGCTCACATTACTGCTGGGCGGCAGAAACAGGTAAGGTAAGGTATTTCCCTGAACGAACTCTTTCATAAGAAGCTCTGTCACTTTCCGGAAAATTGTAAAAAGTTGACAGTTGCGTCAACTAAAATTGTTCCTTCTGCACAGCGCCTAAAGCGCTCCAATCACCACGCATCTAAACATCGTCTTCAACCTTAATGATACTCTTTACTTAGCTAAGATTAATCGGCGATCGCCTCGGCTAAAACAAAACACGATCGATCGCCGAGTATCGAGACGGGGGGGCTGGCGAAAACCACCATCATCCTTCCCCGCAAATGTCCCTTAAACACAAATTTATGACTGTTATTTATTGCGTTTTCTTTATGCGTAAAATTGGGATTCATATGTACTCGTACTTACATTACATAGATAGATAGATAAGCACTTTATTCACTAATAGGACACAGGTTTAGTTTAAATGCAAAAGTAAAAACAGACCCCTTTTGTCATAGCAAAGAAATAAAGCTAACTTAGCATACGCCAAAGTTCCTTAAAGTGTTG